ATAAACGAGGCGGAGGAGCGAACCGGAGAATGTAAACATGCCAAATCTTTCTACTATTCATTACAGGCGTTATAACAGCGCAAAGTAGATGGGGTGTAATATGGCCCATAAGTGCAGAAATTCAAGATCATAAAATAAGGCGTGTATGTGTGATGAAGGACACGTTGTCCTACGAAGACAATAGTTATCGTGAAAATGAATATGACTCAATGCTACATGCTTTTTGAGTTGTCAAGGCCTGTTCAAAAGCTAGGTTGGATCATGGTTGTGTATTGGTACTAAACACTAAGGCTATCATTATGAGACTCCAGAATCGATCGACAAGAAAGATCCATCTAGCTACCCACACTTAGTCAAATAATTACCTATAGACATTGTAGAATAATAGTATGATTTGGTATTAGTACCACTCTTGTAATATATCTAATAATTGATCTTGCCTGTAAACTGGTATGCCTCATATAACAAACTATTATTTGAGAATAAGTTATCATTATTATTGTTATTATTAAAATTGTAGGATTATCATGGTGTGACTACCTAATCTATGGGATTATACTTGGAAGTCACATCATTCCCTACACTGACTCTTCATATCGTACGAACCACGAATATCACGTCTAGCGTTTTTGAAGAACACACTTGGGCTAAAGGTAGAATAATATATTTAATGTGAATAAAGATATTGTTAGAAACATTTTAAAAGTGAAAATCCCTCCATGCATACATTTGTGATTTCTTCCTTGTGGTTTCTTTATTTGTATATATTGTTAACTTTTTTGATGCTAATTAAGTCTGTAACGTTTAAATTTCTTGGTTCTTCTTATCGTTTTTATTGAGTCTCTATGTTCCTTACTGAACTGTATTTAATTTGTTTTAATTGTTATTATTCTGGCGGCTGCTATATTGACTGCTCGCTCTTTGATTGTGCGGTTTGATTTTGACTGGGATCGTGCATTTTTGGTTGTAATTTGGAGCACTTTACCAGATATTGAAACACATTGTGTTATAAAACAGCCGCTCAAACGGAATCTTACTTGATCTATCCAGCAAGGATAGAATAACACTCACCTTTTGGTGTTTTTGGTAATTTTCATGTTATTCTTACCACTTCACTATTCATTGTAATTTAGATTGAATATTTTGGTATCAATTGTTGGTTGAATAACTGGGTGGTAATATTTGTTTAGGTAAATTTGTACATTTGTATATATGATGAAATTTAGAACCGTTGTTACCTAAAACACTTTGTTCTGATTTCGATTGGGTCACGAGTCCATAAACATATTCCCCGTTATTCGGCCACATCTAGACCTATTGAAATCTAGGTTTTGATCTCACAGATATGTTATACAGAATGACCACGCCCGCAAGGCTGAGCCATGCCATCCGATTGAATGAATGTTCCCGCGTTCACCATTGTTAACCTTTTTGTGTTACAGATTGAATATAAATCTTTTCAATAATTATATGCTCGGCTACAAAAATAGTGTGATTAAAAACCAATGCCACTACATCATCCATCCCGGTGAACTATGAGTTGTAGGAACTCTAACCCGCAAATTCAATACATGTAAATTTAAAAACACAGAGGAAATCTAGTAGAGAGCTCTGGGGAAATTCGCAGGCTAATCCTGTAACAGACAAGAGGAAAAGTTATGCAGTGTCATATACGCAGTAGGTGTTTAAGTGTTCCATAATCCTTGCTCTTCTTCCAGATCGTATCGTATAAGGCCGGTTTTCGGATACCAGAGAAGTCCCGTCGTGATTACTGATTATCGAGGAGGGCATTGTAATTGTGGGGCTTGTGTTGGTCGGTTGTACAGGAGGAAAATCAACATTGTTGGCGTTGCCTAATAAATAAATGGCTTTAAGACGGTCAGTCCTAACATTAAGGTTAGTTCCGTTTTCGCTTATGATTTAGTATCTAGGTTTAATGTAAAGGACTTCCATGAGTCCTTTGTGTGTCATTTCGATGGGGTCTTCATAATAAATCACGATATGCGAGGACGTGAATACTATGGCGTAACACGGGTTGAACGGAAATATCATTCGACTGCAGTCGAGTAAGAACAGGTTTAGCTGAACACATCGAGTTTGTAAACCTGATTGTGTAAGGGCGGGCTTATATCTATATTCATTAAGGAAAATTAAGAATTCACGAAATCTCCTGGAAGTCGGAGTTTCATTCCGTGGACAAGTTGTTTTGCAGTGTACCCAATGTCAGCTTTCACTTCATTGCGAAAACCGAGTAAAACGCATAGAAGAGCATCAGTGCACCGTGGAATGTTCGCAGTCAAGACTAAGACCTTCAACTGTCAATGAGACCTTTCTACCATGACATCTGCTTATGGATGGTAGGCGGTCGTTCTGAACCAGATGATTTCTAGTAGTGATGTAAACCCACAAAAAAGGCCGGACTCGAACTGGTGTGTATGGTTTGTAGTGATAGTTGACGGACAGCCGGAGTTTGTTTCCCATCGTTCGACAAAGACGCAGGCTGTTGTTCCATTAACAATTTCCTTGATAGGAGCTATTTCTGGCCATCGTGTGAAATGGTTCACACACATTGAGAAGGAGTAGCGTCTATTTGATTCTGGCAAGGGTCCAGCCAAATTAAGATAACCATGGTTGAGGAGAGAGTCAGAAATTCTGAAAGAGTCTAAGGGGCATTTGTTTTGTCTAATCACCTTAGATATCAGGCAGCTTACAAGTGTGCGTCTTTATTTATACCGGACCAACGAAATCATTCCGCTATGAGCTTGATGGTTGCACAAACACCTGAATTAGAAAGCTTGTGCAACGTATTGAGGACGTTGCATTGATAATGTTTCGGCAAAATCGAATGATACCTACCTGTAGACGTTTCACATAGAACGTTTTCTTGCATGTTCCCATTTATTCGTTCAATAGTTTCAAAGTTGTCAAAGACAATTCGTGCAGAGGGTCAGTGCCTCCTTTTTGAGGGTGGATGAGTTTGAGAAGGTCAATTCCTCGGAAACTATCCAAGGAATTTGTATGAGACAAAGCTTCTTAAACAATACTATTTTCCCCAGAAATGTGTTGTATATCTGAAGTAAACTGCGAAATGTAGTCTAGTCGTCAAGACTCTTGGGGGGAGTACTTGTCTGAAGATGGGTTAAGGGAGAAGGTTAGAAATTGATGGTAAGTAGACAGATTGAATTCTCGGTCTTCCACAGAGTGTTGGAAATGCTGTACAGCACAGTACATGCTTAGGAGTTCCCTACCGAAAGTGCTATATTTTGGTTATATGATTTTGGTAGATCGTTTTTGAAGGAAAGTTTCACTTTTCAAGGTAGCTGTCGAGTCGTGATTGTGTGGAAAAGGACGAAAACCAGGGATGGTTTTCGCATCCAGTAGCCGACAATCACCGGTTAGACGCCAATCGTTCCTGTCCATTTTAGGTACCATGAGCAAGGGAGATGCTTGCAGGCTATTCGATAGCCGAATAATTTCCAAGTCTATCATTTATTTGAATTCGTTTTCGGCCAACCTTAGCCTTTTGAGAGCTGAGTAGTTTGTGTTGTCTCAGGTCCATACCAATAAATGGCATAGGAACATCGGCAACAACGATAATCCAGTGAATGGGTTTGCGTAAACCCACGTCAAGATAAACATATCCGTATGTGGCGATAGGCCTACTATCTGACCCCTGTAAGTTAAAGACTGGTTCTCATAGACAGTCACTAGTATCCACCAGAAGAACGCTTACTATTGCGCAAGTGTCTACGGGATTGTGAACTTCTGTCGTCACACCAGTGATGTATGGCAGGTTACTATGTCCGATTGCTACGGTTGCCATTAACACGTGTCGGTGCAGGAGTTTTTCGAAAGTTTTTTTTTGTCGGACGGTGTATTGCCGACACCAATCAGGATTATCTGCCTCTCGCGGTCTAGAAGCATATTCTTCGCGACGAGCTTCTTCAAGGAGTCAGCATCAATATTGAAGACTTACAGAACTATTTACTCTGGGGATTTATTTGCCGTCACAAAAGGAATTTTCAACGAGCAATCGGTTAAAACTGTACCCGTCAAAATGTCACTTCATGGATATTGTGCCCCGTTTGACATAAATAATCTACGCTCTTCATGAAGATCTCCCAGTTGTCTCCTAATAGAATAATCTAGGATCATTAAACAGTAGGAGCTTAGACACCAGCTCAAACCACATCGTGGGTGTAACCGATGCAAATGCAGTTCTTCGCTTAGTACCAAGAGTCAATAGCTTTTGAAGTGTTTCTGGCACTGTTTTAAAAGTAATCGTGGTCACATCTAGAAGTCCACTTAGAGATTATCATTTATCGCCTGGAATAGCTATACGAGATATCTGTTGTCGTTATCACATATGATCAACTCACTACTACCTTGCTTCTTATCATCTTCGTTTTCCCTCTTATTCTTACATTTCGGTCTGCGCACACTGCTTACATTACCAATCAATTGACTTATTTATTCGACTCTTGAAATAACCGTTTTCTCTCAGTTTACAAATCTACTCTTCATTTTTTCCCACACTCCAACCAACCGACCTCCTGCCTGATAATGTGATAGCTGCTGGTATGGGGAATTCCTACTACCATGGAAAAAAACATATTCAGAGTACATGATATACAAACTCACAACTAATTAATATCAAACTGACTAAAAATAGTCCGGTCAAGTGTCTAAAATACATCCCATTGGACGTTGCCGAATACCTGGAACATAATGAAGTAACAAGAAGCGAGCGCGAATAAATCAGTCTGTTTATACAAGCTCGTTACAACGACAATGAATATTAAATCTCTTCAAAAAAAGGAAAAACATGTGCCTTAGTTCCAGCGGCGATTAGAACGCTGTTTCACCACCCGAACGAGTCTATCGAGGAGCGAACTGTTCATTATATCGGCCTAGTAAATTTTGATGTTTGTAGTTTGAATGTTCCAATACTCAGGGTCATCAGTGTGCCGCTGAGTGATGCTCGTTCTTTTGTCTTGTTGATGGAGTGTATGCTTTTGCTGTGTCCTGCAGCTAATCAGTCAGATTGTCGGCCTTGTAGCCCACTGTCCAAGGAACACCAGAAAAACTGGAACAGATATATTGACTTATTGCTGTCGAATTGGGAAGACAAGCTACACCTTCCTACCTATTATCGCGAATTGAAAGCACACCCTTTTTGTTGTACTCCAGGTCCAGGCTATTCCTGTCGTCTAAATCTTATTCACGAACCTCGCAAAGAACCTCGGCAATTCTATGATCTCACGTAAGTTCGTTAAATATTGATTATTCCACAGGTGTGCGAAAGATGACTTTTTTACTCCCATTAAGTGTCAGCAAGATAATGACATTAGATGTTGTTCGGAAAAGCATTGTAATGTTCCTACATCAGAGGAACTCATGCTGCTTGTCAAAGACAGCCCTTCGGATCTATATCTTGTGGCTATATCTTTGCTAACCATACTATGCATCATCCTTTTTATTGTATCTGGAACTTTATACTTCCTCTGGAGAAGGAAATCAGGTGAGTTACTTTTTCCTAACATGGGTATGATTAGATGCCCCTATCGGTAGGAACTACATTATTACAGCATTGAGTTGTGATGATTAACGGCATTCGAATTTTGATGATTTTTTGTATAACGTTGCAAAAATATTTCTATCAATTGGTTGCTCGGTGTTAATCATGGTTATTAAATCTATGAATAATCTCATATAACGTTCAATGTCCAGTATTCTGACTGTTGCATTCCTCATTACTGACATTTTCTCGTTTTATTAAGCTTATCTGGCTTTCTTCTGAATAATTAATTTAGAATTGTTTGTACGATAATTATATTGGTCCTGTGTCGATAGTGTTCATGTTCTCTAAAGGGTTTTAGAAAGTTCGTTTGCTGTGTTGTTTACGAGACAAAGTGCTGGTATGGTAGCTTTTTATAACAAAAATTACTACTCGCTACTAATTAGAATTAAAACAAAGATGTTATGACTATCCATGAAATTAAGAAAGGCCAGATAATAATTTATTGTACACTACAAACGAGTCCTAATTCCTTTTAAATCCACTTTTTTATGTATCATACAATCCTCTCGCCGATATCAAATTTAAGCACATTGGACTGGGAACTAGTTGACAAATCAGTCACCGACTCCAGCTGTGTTTGGGATCTACATTATTAATAGATTAGTTGCTTCAACGAACAGTCATAACTAGGTTACTGAGTTGTATATTTACACCTTTCTAACATAGTTCCATCTTAGTTTGTATTGAAGTATGTGAATAATACCAGTCGAACCTTTTCTTCCGTACTTCTTGGTATTAATTACTTTCTAGTTGTAGATTTATATATCAGTTAAAATGCTTACGTAAGAAACATATATCTTACAGTCTAAAACTTGATGGCGAGGTGCTTTGGTCATTGTGTCAGAACCGATATCAGTGTATAAAGCAATTTATCCTTTGATGTATACCATGTAAATCATGCTTGTGTTCTCAATTATTAGACCAAACAAATCCCCCACTTCGATTTGCTTAGTCAAGTTTATTATTATATTAGATATTTAAACATAAATATTGGTACATGGAAGCACCAGATAAATATGCGCCGCACAAATCTCGTTCGATATGTGTGAGGGCTGTGATACTACCCAAACTTCCCAAACTGAAGCAGGTGGTTTTCTTAGGGCGCCACACCCGGAGCCTTTGACTTAAAGGTCTAGTCCACAAGGCAGTGGAGCATCGTAAGGAGATGCAGTCTGATGGTAACCGGTGACCAACGATTGATTCATACAACATTTTCTCCTTCAGGATCCTTAAGCCCATGTGCACCATTGGTTTGTAATGAGGGTTTTCCAACTCCCCTAGGTGGACTTTCCGTGTCCACCAACCCGGTGAAAGCGCCGGACATTCACTTTTCGTCCTCTCAATTTCGTAAACAACAGTAATGCCACGAAGAGGCAGTGAATAGGACTTCCCTGACAGAGGCTCTATACGCGTGGCCATGTGAGAGCATTTGGAGAGGGAGGGTGGCCCCTCCCCACTCTCGACCGTACCAGGGCATTTGGGGGCACTATTGGTCCTCAACCCAGGACTTGTGTTTCTAAACTATGTACATAAGCATGTTTTAGATGAATCACGTTAAATCATTATTTGTTATTAACTCTAGCGTTAGTGTAATTTGTTTGTTCAACTGCCTCTTACTAACCTGTTGCAGAAGTGTCAGTAGTGTGAATTAACTTCGTGTAACTTGAAGGTCCTATCAATATATTGAATGTCTAATAACGGCAATCCATCTACCAGTATTTTTACACTTACCCAACCTTTCGTCACGACGATTATGCATATCCAAACCAGGTAACCTGTAACTCCCAATATTTCTCAGACCAACAGCCTGACTTCATGAACTGATGCCGCTTTTTGGTTAAGGTGCCTGTAACCTTTTCAACTTACTCATATACCAGTCGACATCGTTCGTCTAGATAGGTGGTGGTCGGATACACGTAACATGTATTCCAACTACCTCAGCTGGTGAAGGTTTTCAACTTCACCATCCATAGTGGATATCGCTAAAATTCTTCCTTTTCTTATAAACTGAGGCAACTAACGGTGGTGAAAACCACTCGTATGGAATTCTCTTCAGTTCTCAGATAATAGCTTATATTTCAGACAACTTATCTACAAAAAACTGGCCCATCATCCTTAGATATCGTAGTTAATGCATCAGGATCATGGTAACATATTTTTCGGCGATATTCTCATTAAGAAATGACATTTCAGTCCATGTTTTGTTGACGAGTTTAGTTATCTCCAGTGTTATCTAGGGTTGCTTCCTTTTCCTTCTACTTTTTTTCTTTGCTTACCACTGGTAACAATCATTGCATAGAAGTTTAGTCATTATATGTCTATATTGTCTGCTCCTATTCGTGTTCGCGACCTGACCTGATAGTTTTTCCAGCATCTATCAATACAGTAAATAATATGAATTTCACCATTCATTTTTAGCTCCTTGGTTTAACTCACAGATAGGTATTACTGATGTATTTACAGCCGTTTGTATATCAAACCAAGCATCCTCAGACTGGACTGAATATCACTCATACGATCGACTAAGTGCTTAGCCATTTGTTATTGGGATTTACTGCTGACCTTTTCGTATGTGGGATGGGTTATAATGAATCTTATTTGGACTTTTCTACATCTAGTTAGCCATATGGCTTAGAACAGAACATCAGAGCCGAAACACGTGCTCTTCAAGGATCTATAGCCCTCTATTATCCATTGCACTAATGGTCGCTAGCGACATGGTGTGTCCACCGTTGAGTCAACGTTGTCACCATGTAAGACAATATTTTCTTGGCATAAAATGTTCTTTTCTACAAGTGGTCGTTTAAGCATTGTCAAAATACGAAAGTGTGTTCAGAGTGTGAATCCGGTTGGTCTTCTATGTCAATGGCTAGATGGCATCCGAGCAATAACAACACCTGGATTCTTTATGCAAGTTTCGGAAACGGCATATGTCGATGTCTCTTGATTATAGAGTTCTAACTAATTAATTCTGTAATCTGATTCGGCACAGGGTTCGAACATTGAGGGCTTGAACATCCATTTTGGAGCGCAGTTTCAGAGGGTCTGAAACAGCATTTAGTAAATTCAAATCATTGGCGGTTGTAGGACGTGCTGGTTATGTACAAGAAACTAATCTCCTTAGCCCATTCAGCGCTACAGCTCCACCCCCAGATCTTAAATTTTCTACTTTTGGTCATACTAACATCCCTTTCATGGTAAAGCACAAGGCGACTTGTCTTTCAGCCAACATGGATAAATTATGTCCTCCAGATCCACATTTGAGCAAAATTTGTACAACAACAATGCCTCAATTTTACATCTCTTCAGACTACCTATGACGTTAGTCAATTTTTATTTATTTATTTAATCACATAAATATTGGTACAAGGAAGCACCAGATACATATGCGCCTCACAAATCTCATTTGATTTGCGTGTGGGCTGTGATACTGCCCAGGTGCCCAGACTGAAGCAGATGGTTTTCTTAGGGCTCCACACTCGGAGCCTTTGACCTGAAGGTCTAGTCCACAAGGCAGTGGAGCATCGTGAGGAGATGCAGTTCCATGGTAGCCGGTGATCAATGATTGATTCGTACGCCATTTGTTTCGTTAGGATACTGGAGCCCATGTGCACCATTGGTTCGTAATGAGGGTTTTCTAACTCCCCTAGATGGACTTTCCGTGTCCACCAACCCGGTGAAAGCGCCGGACATTCACTTTTCGTCCTCTCAATTTCGTAAACAACAGTAATGCCACGAAGAGGCAGTGAATAGGACTTCCCTGACAGAGGCTATATATTCGCTGGCCATGTGAGAGCACTTGGAGAGGGAGAGCGGACTCTCCCCACTCTCGGCCATACCAGGGCGTTTGGGGGCACTGCTTAGTCAATAGTCGAAGGCTTATGTTGATCTCCCATTTAGATTGTTCGGTAACTGGAGTAGCCGAAGACTAGTGTTCGGCCCATCGTTTCAATTATTTGGTCTGAAAGTAGATCACAGTTGTTTCTCCGACACCGACACGTTTACACGATGGCGATTAAACTGGACTTAGGACTTATTATTTTCGCCTTAATAGTACTGTCTGTTCATTTCATATCATTAGTTCAACCATATAAAATAAAGCAGTACTTCAAACTTATGGAATGTGAAATAAAAATGAGTATACATATGACACAGTCAAGGTTTAAATTGAATATATATTAAAGTAGCTACGCGATTGTAATACGAGCAAATAATATCTGGCTTCCCATATAAACTATTTGCTTGCATAAAATTTATAGCGTCAAAAGGTATATTTGCTAGAAACATAGTCACGAATCTGCTACACTAAACTGCTTTTCCGAGACTGATTCCATTTTTTAGGTAAACGTTTTCTCATATAACATTTATCTTTGTAAATACCTATTTTTGCATGTCAGTAATTGTAACCAACTCATCAAAATCATTGTTCTCTTCTATGATTGTACAAACTAAGTAGATCGGCAAAAACAGATCTCTTCTCAGAATGGTATTACATCTGATCATCTATGGACATCAGATAATATTGATAACAAATACTTGAAGGGACCCCTGCAAGTACCAGACACTTTAACTGTGAATAATACCTATCCTGAAAACGCAAGAGTATTTTCCAATGATCCTTCTGCTGTTTCTGCCGGAATAACTAGCCGTGGCGCTAGTAGTCTGAGCCATTTTGGCAGTGGCGCTTTGGGAGCCACTCCTGGAAATATTAATTCATGTTCGAATTCCCCTACTGGAGCTATGACCATCACTAGTTCGGGATCAAATTCCGCTATGCCTACAACAGGTACTATTCCTGCAGACTTGATGGACCACACCTGCAGTGGGTCAGGTTCCGGAAAACCTTTACTAGTTCAGCGAACGGTCGCTAGGCAAGTTCAGTTGGAAGAACGTATCGGCGAAGGTCGATATGGTGTTGTATGGCGAGGTGTTTGGCAAGGTGATCTAGTAGCCGCTAAAATATTTTCTAGTCGAGATGAACGCTCTTGGTTTCGGTAAGTTTGTATTTCATTTAATTGTAATATTGATTATATCCATCCGATTTCATCATAGACCTACTGTTGGAAATAACGTTCTCGTCGACTGAATTTCCAGGAATAGGTCTCCTTTCAGGAGGTCCACTTATCGACTTCGAATACGCAGATAACATAGTCCTGTGTTGGTGAAGACGCTGATAAAATGTAGTCTTTTGGTAGCACTAAGCAACAATGAAAGGATGTTTGGGATTCGTTTCTCCCTCTCTAAATGCAAGTTGTTGCTTCAGGACTGGCCTGCGTCAACACCTGAACTAAGGATAGGGAGTGAAGTAGTCGAACGCGTCGACAACCTCATTTATCTTGGAAGGTCTAATCAGTCCTAATGGGTTGGTGTCTGACGAACTCTCTGTACGGATTCAAAAAGCTTGTTTGGCTTTTGCCAAGTTACGTCACCTGTGACGAAGGCAAGATATCCGTCTATCACCAAAAGGACGAGTATACTGCGCATCAGTTCGTTCTGCGAAACGTGGCCATTAAGGTTAGAGGATACTCTTAATTTACTAGTATTTGATCACAGATGTCTCAGAAGTATTTCCAGGATCTGATGGGATCATCGAGTAAATAATGGTGGGGTTAGACGTAGAATTTTAGGGAACGATGATAAATCAGTTGATGAGGTTGTGAATCTTCATCGACTGAGATGGTTGGGCCATGTGTTACGTATGTCTGAACACCGATTACCGCGACGCGCTATGCTGACTAGTATTGGCGATGGTTGGAAGAGAGTTAGGGTCGGCCAAACCAAAACGTAGCATCAGTGCTTGAAGTCACTAACTTCTAACCTGAGCCATGTTCGTAGATGCATACTACTTGGTTGGGATCCGCGCGACTTTCGTAACCAATGGTTGGAGACTCTGGATGACATGGCTCCGAATCGATCACAATGGCGTAGGTGTATACACTCTCTTTTCTTAAACGGTGAGATTAAAATTGTTTTATACCTTTCTTTCTACCAACTAATTCTTTCTCCCTGTATCATATCCTTGTATAAATTTTTTTCACTACCATTGAATTAACTACTTCTATGAATTTGGCGCTTATCTTGTTGTGCTAATTAGGTGTGGCGACTTGGACCGATGTATATATGTGCCTGGTCCTACGCTGTAGTTTACTGACTGATAAAATAGCAAGCTATTTTCATACTTTAAAATTAATCGCCCTTCATTCCAAAGTAATGTTTCTTGAATATGATCATGAAATAACAACCCAATGTCAGCTTTCCGTTGTTGCTTTTAAGGTCAACAGTGACTTGAAAACCAGCCTCATCCTTCTATATCATTCTTTATGATGACTTGTAGCCACTACAGTGGACTAATCCTACTTTTTCCAACCACATTCACGTTTGTATGTTAAATTGCCAGTCAGTCAGTGTATATGAGCTAATAAAATTAATTTACCGTTCAATATGTGGAGAACAACCGATTAATATGACGTTTGAAAACATAGTACTTTGATATGGAATATGAAGACATTTTACTAGGGTTTTTTTCTAAAACATAAAACAAATAGCTATAGACAGCTTGGAATTTGGATTGTTTAATTTTTTAAAAGAGTGTTGCAATGTTGTGATTGATTTCACGCTATCACTCACATATCCCATCAACAGCAATTCTATCTTTAAAACCTCAGGTTAACACAAAGGCATTGCCAGAATCTCTGATGACACTGGTGGATTAATCGATTAGTAATATTTGTATTGTTATAGTTTCTTCGAAATTCATACCGTATATATGTTCGACCTTAAGTAAAGCTTTACATAGAATCATGTTTCATGCGCGTACACGCTTTTACATCGAGTTACTCAGCTGCATAACTTTGTTTACTCATCAAGATCTGTGGCCCCAGTAGTTAAGGCATTCGATTCTCAGCCTCTTGGTCGACGGTTCAAACTTCACTTCATCTACTTTAATTTACCCCATGAAGTAATATTACTAGTCACTTAAGCCAAGTACACGATTGATAGGTTAGTAGCAATAGTAAAACTTATTCATTAAACCGCTTAGAAGGTAAATTATTCATTCTAAAGTCCATCTTTATTAAAAGACAGATACTCATTGGTATTTATCTGAAGAAATGTAAGGGAGAAAGTCGGCTTCACAGACTATATAAACTGCTCCTAAGAAAGCACTATTTTCAAAAATGCAGTTTACGGGAGATATCGCCATTGCAAACGATTTAGAGACCTTGAATGACATGGCTCAAAATCGTTTGCAATAGCGAAGGTGCATCCACTCTTTGTGTTCTACCAAATTCTAATCTTCTGAATTCTTCATGTCTCTTCTTTTTCCAAATTTATTTCATTGGATTATACTCCTTCAATAACGTCTTCAAACCCTAATCTTTCACATACTCTTTCTACTTCTACCACTATGGAATTTGAATGGACAACTGCATCTCTGTGCTCATGTGGTATGGCAACTCGAACTGATGTACGTACGTACGAAGTTCTACGTTGTGACTGACTGACTGGTAAAATAATAAAAAATCGTTTGACGAGATCAATTTTAAATATGTTTCATGGCACGAATTTTTGTATAAGTCGCATTCCTATACACTTCTGGATCAAAGTTAAGTTATCATGACTGACCATTTCAGTGTCTATATGTCAACTCATGTACTTCCATGAAATCTAATCATTTCGGTTGAGCATTGAGACCACTTATTCGTCGATATCATATGTATTTACTATTACGGTATGGGACAAAACTGTTCATCTGTTTTGTTTTGCAATGAGTGGTAATTTTTGAGTATTCAGCTTCAGATTCATCCTCTAATCTAATCTACAAAATCTAGTCAAAAATCCTAAGAGGTACATTCTTAAATCTATTTTTTTTTGCAGAAACTTAAATTTTCTACAATTTAAAACCCTAGTTGTATGTACAAAAAACTTCATTATTGGTTCTCTCTTTATCCATAGCTTTAGATTTGTTTACTTTTTGTATTTCGCTCTTGTCGTACGTCTATAAAAAGTATTTCTATTTCTCTTAATTTGATAATAATGATAATTATTACTACTATCATTATTATTGTAACAAAGTTTGTTGCTACTCAGCATTCTTGATTATCATTCGCATAACATTGTCATATCATAGTTGAAAGCGTGAGTCAATTGAAGCTAGACCACTATGAAAAACCTGGAAGCACTGGACGGTCGTTTCGTCCTACTATGGGACTCCTCAGCAGTGCGCAACCACGACCTCGCCTCGCGAGGTTCGAACCCAGGACGTACCAGTCTCGCGCCAGAGCACTTAATCGATAGACCACTGAGCCGGCATCGGATGATATTAATGTCTAACTTCAATCAATCCACGATGTTGAGCAACCGTTCATCAATTGTCTTCAGTAAGTTGCTGTCTCACAACAGGCCTGGTTTGAACTCCACTGGTCACTGCTTCTCACTAGAACTCCTGGATTTACCTCTCTAAGTCAGTCACTAGTGAGCATATGATTATTATTATCAGAAGGGGTTTTGTGGAGATTTAATATTTTCATATTTGAAAGCGTGAGTCTATTGTGTTCACTCTAGTGATTTATAACGTCTTATAAATCTTTTCCTTTGATAACTGCTTCTTTTTTGTTGGAAATGATATAATCAAGTTTCATACTACAATTCATTAATTCTAACAAACATATAAAGTAGTTATTCACTGTTCTATAATTCAGTACAAACGGTATTTTATAGCTTTGAAAATCCCCTCATTGTGTAAAGGAAATTTTTTTATAGAATAATTTGTGTATATATTATTCAGTGGGTTATTTTATTAAATTACCTTCAAATGTTGACTTATTTCATACTTTTCAGAGAGACAGACATTTATCAGACGGTGATGTTACGTCATGCAAATATTCTAGGTTTTATTGCAGCTGATAATAAGGATACAGGATTGTCTACTCAATTATGGCTTATAACTGACTATCATCCTTTGGGATCATTATATGAATTTCTACAGCAGCATTGTCTGACGCCGTTTGCCCTTTTACGGGCTGTTGCATCAATTACTAATGGTCTGGCACATTTGCACATGGAAATTACTGGGACACAAGTAATGATTTTTTTGTCATATGCACTTGACTCTGCGGTAAAAATGATACCTTTTAAACAGTAACCCTACTTTAACACTACAATCTGCCTAAACTCATTAAGTTTGTTTTTGTGTAATAGAGGCATGTTCCTTACGGAGAAGTTACTCTACTCACGTGATGCGTTAACTGTGTTTCACTGAGTGTGATTACATGGAAACAAAACTAACAGCTACTAGAGGCTTATTCTGTTAGTTTCATGAAAATTCATCTAGTGTCATGTTGCTGTAGTGATAGGGAATTTTTTGTTCTGAACAAAATATCTATTAAACATAACCACTGGTGGGATCAGTTTTATGCCTTATTGTCTAAATTCTCCAGTCTTTGATTTATATCATACTAAGAAGCCTATAGATTTTAGTTATCATGACTCTTAATATATATATTCTTGACTTTAGGCTAAGCTGCTTAGAAGTCAGCATCTTCAGCTAGTATCGCTTACCAGGATGAGGATTTGTCAATTGTGCAATTATATCTCATTCAGTTCAGTTTCTCGACAGTAGCTCATTAGTTCACTTCCAGCTTTTAATGGAAACTGCCCATCTGATTTCGGCATCGTTCACTCTGTAGTTGTGTCGGGTAGGAGTGGTATCGTGAATGTGCCACAGCCTAGTTCTACTGGTCATATTTCATCATCAGCCCCCAAATACCTAGTACTATCGAGGCTGGGGACAGTCAGATCTCCCTCTCGAAATGCTCTCACATGGCCACGTGCATACAGTCACCACCGTGGGCGTCCTACTCACTGACTTCTCGTGGCGGCGGTGTTGTATATGAAATTGAGAGGACAGAAAGCGAATGTTCGGCGCTTTAACCGGGTTGGTGGACACGGAGGATCCGCCACAGGGGAGTTGAAAAACCCTGGTTCCAAACTAATAGTGCACATGGGCTCCAGGACTCTGAGTAAACAAATGGCGCATGAACCAATTATTGGTCACCAACCACCATGGGACTGCATCCCCTGACTTTGCTCCACTGTGTTGTGCATCAGGCTTTTAGGTCAAAGGCTCAAGTAGTGGCTCCCTAAGGAAACCACTTTCTTCGGTTTAAACACCCAGATAGTATTCCAGCCCATACACAGACTGAATAATGACCACTTCGTGTGGCCGATACAGATATCTTGGCGCCCCTTTGTACCAATGTTTGTGTTTCAATAAATAAATAAGCTGTTGGTAGTTTAGTTTCTACACTATTATACATCCGATCACTGGTAAGCAAACTAATGTTTCCAGTATCATAATACAAATAGTGCTGTGTTATGAATACGGAAATTTCTTAGTTATTTAGTTTATTTTAAACAAGTAACTATGTGATTGCATTGGTGCAAGGAGGCACCAAATATATATTCTACACACAAATGATTCAATTTGTATGAGGGCCGGAATACCGCCCGGGCGCCTAAACCGAAGCAGGACTTTATGAGCAATCATAATAATAATGCGTTTGTATTTTTTTCTCCATATGTATCATATAGAAATTTAACTTTCTATATCTTTCCATATTTGTCACCAATCGATGATTATGCATAATGTCTAACACCATACTGTCTTGTTCAATTCTTGTTACCTCGTAAATATATATTAATCTGATGAATTGGTATATATAGTGTTCAACTAACAACTTTTCTCATAGTAAGCAGTCGATCATTAAGCTTGTGTTGTCACTGGCTGTTATGCTTGACACTAAATCGATTCCGCGGTAACGAACGAAAGCCAATGACACGATAAGCTATTCTAATCTGTTGTCCCAGGCCCCGCTAACTAGATGAAGAAGTCCAAGGCAAGTAGGGGAATATATATGTATTCCGTAAGCAGCCGAGTACAAGCAATCGAATAAGGGAAAAAGTCAAGCGCATTTATACAACAACAATTTGTCCTTGAGCATCATTGGTAAATAGCACACACAAAGAAACAATGGACCAATAGCGTTTAAGATAGTTTACAGGTGGGAAATATGACGTGAAGGTAAAAAGAGCGCTTTTGGCGCGAAAACAGCTAAATTCAAATTTTCAAAATAAAACTACAAGATTAAGCCATTTACCAAGTAAGTTCTGGGGATTTGACATCCCCAACACTGGCACAGTATTCTCATCATAACCTTTCACAAACCATTATGATAACTAAAATATAAAGCTTTCACAAGTCTCATACACTTTCTGTTCCTCTCTATAATCAATGTACATTGTGAACTAAATACTACTCAAGTATTGGTAATTATTGTCAATGCAGATTAGTGGCATGTTATTATCTATAAATTCACGCAAATCATGATTGACTTAGGGGTTATTATTTGTCAGTAATTGTATTGAATTTATTTGTGATTTAATTAACTTGAGTGTATTCCTCAGTGATGCTGCTCTAAGATGAAAGATTTAATTGGACATTTTTCATTGTCGTACTGGATAATATCATCAGTGTGTATGTGTATTTGAAAAGTGTCCACTTTCCTAGGTATAGTCCTTTGTGTAAATCTGTGCAATCTTTATCTATGTCAAGTACCTCTATCAACAGAACAAACAGTGAATTTTTTTGAAGGAAAATTAATCGAAATCGCAAAGCAACTAATTAAAAAACAGTAGGTAATTATTCGACGAATCTATCAAGGTAACTGTCAATCAAAATGTAGAGGATTCAAACACAACATCAGAAAAGCTTATAAAACAGAGTTCTTCACCACACCAGGACCAAACGAAAAAAACTCAGCTAGAAAAATATGTACCTTAGATTATATGGATTAAAGTTTACTGCATACTGACTGACCACTCAAAAAGAAAGAGCACTGGAAAGTTTAATGTACAAAAAGGAAGATTGTCATTGTAACACAGTAGTCAAGATTATATCGAGAAGGATGCTGACCTACTTTAAAGACAATAGTGTGTACCAATTACTGATATCAGTTTCTACTAAAAGGTTAAATAATCAAATCAATTGAACTTTAGACAATTTCTCAAGAAAGGACAAATTACAAAGATCGGTGGAAAATGAGACCCAGTGAGCTATTCCCTCTCAATTCTACAACTGGTCAAAATTGTACATACCAGATACCCCTTTGTGATTAGTTTTCACTGCCAGGTACTCCATCACATGATTTACTTAAAAATTATAGGATATTAGGAAACCTAACTGAAACATTATTGTTATATCACCATTCTCAGGAATGATTAAAGACTAACAAGTAAATAACGATGAAATATTGATTTCTTTTAATGTCAAGATTTTATTTACTCTAACAGGGACAAAATTGTCAGAGACATCATGTTAAAACTATCCCGCATAACGAAACATTTCAGAACACAGAAAATCAATGGTATATTTGATAGAGTTCACAAACCTGCTCCATATATACAAATAGATCAAAGGAACTACAACGAGATCGCTAATAGTAGAAAGTATAATCCATAGACTGGAGATTACGGTTTAATTCATAGATATTGGTATGTTATGTGTAAGACATTTTTGTTTTCAAGAGAGACGAACTCAGATTTAAAACATCTGCAACATCCGATTCCCGAAAAGAAAGTGAATCGGTAAACGCTATTTTATTTTCTATTGTCTGAACAGCTGAACAAATGCGATAAAATTAGAAACCAATGCACTGATTAGATATTACATTACGAAAGCGAAAACTTAACAGTAAGCGAAGAGGGTTGTGTGCAGGTTAGAACTCAAGTGAACAAAACAGTCAACGAGGATGCAGTGATACTGAAAGTTAATAGCACCTACAAAGGCAACCGCTTATGTTGTCTGTTGAACAGATTGATTTATCACTTATGAAACCAAATTCTGTATAAATTTGGGACTGTTAATGTCAGGAACAGTAATGAAAACTCCTTAATTAACCGATCCGGCTCAGAAAGCGCAGTACCACTAAATGTTCTTTGAATCTATCCTTTTTTTACCAAAAGTATATTTGGTCTATAGTTTCATAATTTTGCATTAATTTTTAACAATTTATCATATGTTATCTACAAATAAATTCTATTTAAATGTAACATTTTCTAAATTTAGGGTAAACCTGCTATAGCTCATCGTGATCTGAAATCTAGAAATATCTTAGTTAAAATGGATGGTGAATGTTGTATTGGAGATTTAGGTTTTGCTCTTAAATTAGACTCATTTATGAGTTCTGCATTAGAAGTCAATTCAAACTCAGATCGTGTTGGAACCAAACGTTATATGGCTCCTGAAGTATTAGATAATACAATACGTTTAACTAGTCCAGAAGCATTTAAACAAGCTGATATGTACAGTTTAGGTCTGGTATTTTGGGAGGTTACAAGACGATGCTATGTTCGTAATTTATTCGGACCAGATGAATATCAACTACCTTATCAAGTAAGTATACTTAATTTTTTGTTCATCCTTAATTTAAGGGGCGTTCTGGTGAAAACGTTTTTATAATAAAATGATATAATACGTTAGATTGTTACCTATTTTCATCATTCAGTTAATTCTCGCACAAAACTGCAGTTTAGATATTAATTTACTAACATTTACTTGAATCAGAAAACTGGATTTTGCTTCTATTCTATTTTCATGAATGATTAACAGGAGCCTGGAGTTAATCATCTATGATGATGTACTCCGATATATTTACACCTCAAATTCTTACAACTAAATTTTGTTATTTACATTTGTTCATCTTCATTATGAATTACAAAGATTCTATTCTAGTAGTTGATCAGTGTATGACATGGTGTCGTGGTATGAGAGAAAGCTGCAAAGGGCTAGCTTCTGTTGGTCCTTCACGACTCCCTGGCTGGGGTCCGAGAGATGGTACAACACAGTGGTGAGAGACGGTATCAGTTATGGCTTGGAATAGAAGCCAATGGCGACCCTGCTGTAACCTTCTTTTACTTTCTTCATAAAGAGTGGTTCTAACTTCCTTAACTGAAAGAGTCTTCCGGTTGTACATTTCAGTTCCTTCCCTTTTTTCATCCTTTATCTTCCTATTTTCATTGTTTTGTGTGGCGCATATGTATCTGGTGCCTTTTTGTACCAATATGTATGTGTCTAAATAAATAAATAAAATAAAAGTAGTTTATATGTGAACAGGATCAGTTCAACAAAATGATCTGTTTTCAACTAATTCACTTTCAAAGTTGTATAATTTGAAGAAAAACAAAACCTTTTTTATCATGAAAATCGAGGATGTTCTGTTATCGTTGTTGTTAATAATAATAATAATAATAATAATAATAATAATAATAATAATAATATAGTTACCAAATTTAGATAATAGAAGAGTGAACTAAACAATTCTCATTAAGAAGATGAAAATATATTCATTAAGAAAGATCAATCACTCGTCGAGAATATCATTGAAGTTCAATCAAGATTGATTAATTAGAAAAATGAAGGTTATGTTACTATTAGATAAGATAAATTATAAAATTGAAATGAAATGTTAGCAGAAAATTAATCAAATAAGTTAGTTTGTAAGCAAAGATGGATAGTAGCTAGCAGTGAAATCCAGTTTGACGCGCGTTTCGTCTTATTTGGGACTCGTCAGCTGGATGTACCTGCATCTTAGAGTTGATGTTCACTCTGGGACTCGAACCTTTATTTATTTAAACAACTAAATATTGGTACAAGAAAGGACCAGATAAATATGTACCGCACAAATCTCATTCGATTTGTGTGAGGGCTGTGATACTGCCCAGGTGCCCAAACTGAAGCAGGTGGTTTTCTTAGGGGGCCACACCCGGAGCCTTTGACTTAAATGTCTAACCCACAAGGCGGTGGAAGCATCGTGAGGAGATGCAGTCCCATGGTAGCCGGTGATCAATGATTGATTCGTACGCCATTTGTTTCGTTAGGATACTGGAGCCCATGTGCACCATTGGTTTGTAATGAGGGTTTTCCAACTCCCCTAGGTGGACTCGCCTTGTCCACCAACCCGGTGAAAGCGCCGGACATTCACTTTTCGTCCTCTCAATTTCGTAAACAACAGTAATGCCGCGAGGAGGCAGTGAGTAGGACTTCCTTGTCGGAGGCTATATACGCGTGGTCATGTGAGAGCATTTGGAGAGGGAGAGCGGACTCTCCCCACTCTCGACCGTACCAGCTCATTTGGGAGCACCCAATACCTTTGCTTACAATGCTTGTGAATTAAGTCTATATCGAAGCAATACGCACAGTATACACATATGGCAATAAGAGACAGATCAATTACAGTCCTAAACACATTGATGGGAAGATTCAAATAAACAATACTAAGTGAATTTAAATAAGTTAATGTTATATTTTTCTACCATTTAATATCATCTGACTCTTAGTTTATTGTTCATAATTTTGTTTGCTTGTTTACTTATTTTTGTCTAGTTGATTTTTCTTTGTCTTTTTTTTGTCATATCAATTGCGTAAATATTACAATTTTTGAACGATTCAAAATTGTAGGACAATATTATGCAATGCTGTCATCCATCACTTGTTCATTCCGCCATTGAGACATATATGTATCTATTTAAATTTACGTTGATAAACAGACAACATGTATGGAATACTGTTGTCTACCTTCAGTATGACTTTTCTACTTTTATGTAATCCGATTGGTTAATTACTTAATGAGGAAAAATCTAGTTTACATATGTATATGTTAGTTGAGGTTTACTTGTATCGGTCACGTATACATGTGATTGTTTGTTCTACCGTTGTCATATATATATAATTAGCTGTTTGTTCATATTTCACGTGGTGTTATTATTAATGTCATAGATCATTGGCTTGTATGTATATATGAGTCTGCCTTTTCTTATGCGTGTATGCCTAGTTGTCTGGTTTGCAAAAAGAAGAATCTCATTTCTCCATTTTCTTTATTATCATGGTATACTAGTACAGTGTATGATGTGCATCTTCGGTACATATATACACATGCATACTCGTACATCTGTCAAAATAACTAGTAGGCGCAAGAATTAATGGTTTGATTGTGGTGGTGGTGGTGGTGATTTATGATGTACATGTGTATTCTGTCCTCTCTGTGTGTTTATCCTGTTCTTATTGTTATTATGATTTGAACAGTTGTACTCTGTTGTTGTTCTACTTTCTATTAGTTGGATAAAATTTTAATTGGTCTCATCTACTTGGATATTATTCCTCGAAGTAAAAATAATAGTAGTTGAGTAGTTCATTTCTATGTATGTATACGTATTAAGATCTATGTAGCTCAGCACTAATTATCATGATGAATTCAGTCTTTCCCTCATTTATTCAGTAATTTGTTCTTACATTTTATTCTTTTATGAAGTGATCTCCATATTGTCATGAATTTAGTAATTAAGATGTTTGTGGAGATTGTAAAATTTTCACAGTATAGGCCATAAACTAGTCTTAGCTAGACAATATCTGTGAGAACCAAGAAGCCTGGACAGCCGTTACGTCTTAGCGTGGAATTTATGCATATCCACAACCCCACCACAGGGTATCGAACCCAGGACTCAGTCTCGTGTGCAAATGCTTAACTTCTAAATTACTGAGAATGAAACTGATGTGTGGGCGAGAATGACAGTGATTGGTTGTTTTGATGAGTCAGACATTAGATAGGATGACAGGTGTTATGTGTTATATATATTCCCCTATCCTTATTATGTATTGACTGTTCCTTGTTGATGGACACTTATTGATTAAGTGTTCCTTGTGTCGGATTTTGGTGTGGAAATATATTGACGTTGTAGTCAGGCTAATCTCGTGTTCTTGATCTGAGTTGTGTTGAAGTCTTGTAGAATAGACACTGGGTGGGAATCTAGTGTAGATATTCGTCTAAGGTAAATTAACGTCCCACATGCGTATAAAAAGTGAAAGGACTGTTATAACAAGGAACCCCTACATTTATAATCAGCATTCTACGTTTATAACAGAAACCCAATAGTATCAATGTCCAACTTCAATCGATTTACGATGTTATCTTCCCTCAAACCGTAAGATTAAAATTAGGATTACTTCTACGAACTAATCCTTCCTGTATTACATACTTATATGCAGTCTTTCATTTATGTATTACTACCATTGAAGTAACTACTTCTATGAATTTGCTATTCATCTTGTTGTGCTAATGAGGTGTGGCAACTTGTATCGATTCATATATGTACCTGGTCCTACATTGTAACTGATTGACTGTGCTACCGTCTTCCATTGCCTGAAATAGATAACGGCCTCATTCAACATAGTTGAACTCCATGAAATCATCTACTGAATAATTCTCTTAGTTCAATTTGGTAAATTATTGCTTTCATCAATATCTAATTTTAGTAAAACGTTTATATTATGACGTAAAGTGAAAAATTATGTAATAATCATGGTTAGCAGAGATGGATAGTGGCTAGCAGTGGAATCAAGGACGCGCGTTTCGTCCTATTTTGGGAATCGTCAACTGGATGTACCTGCATCTCAGAGTTGATGTTCACTCTGGGACTCGAACCCAGTACCCTCGCTTCAAACGCCATCACGTTATCCACTCGGCCACTGAGTCCTGATAGGTACATCCAGCTGACGAGTCCCAAATAGGACGAAACGCGCGTCAAACTGTATTCCACTGCTAGCCACTATCCATCTCTGCTAACCATGCTTGTGAATTAAGGTATATCGAGGCAATACGCACAGTATGCACATATGCCAATTAGAGACTGACCAGTTGCAGTCCTAACAAATCGATGGGAAGATTCAAACAAACAATACTAAGTTGAATTTATTTAATAATGTTTTGTGCTTAAAAAACGCATTAGTTATGTTAAATCATTATTTATAATTTAGTGCAGCTAATATATATGTGTTGAGGTGGATGAGGATTTCTCTATTTAAGTTCCTCATTGTAAATTGTGATGGAAGTATTTGGGGTCTATTTAAATGCGTACGCAGAGAAACCCTGTTTTGTAAGCTGTGTAGTCAATCTAAGAAGCTACGTTATAGTGATAAAACATGGATAAAAGGTTGGTTATTCTCAGTTATGGTTTGTATATAACATGATTTCGGAATTTCTGAGAATAACTTGTCTTAAGATCAAAGAATTATCTGCATAAGAATTCATCAATATAACTACAGTACAATCGCTTACATCTATGCAAATCTAACTTTTCCCCTTTTTTGACTTCCCAATTCTCTTGGTTATTTTAGTGGTCGCTAAAGGTCGTCGGTAAACTATACTTTCATCCAGGCCTCTATTGCTCAATTACCAGCCACCATTTCATCTTGTAGACTTTTAAAAGTTATCGTTTATCATTTTATTACGATTATAATTATTATGGAAAGACTTTTAGTAGTTCTGTTCAAAGGAAGTAATAAATGTTCCTCCTTTTGTGTAGTCTGGTTAAATCATTTTCTGTTATTCACAGTATTATCAGTAGTACAAGCAAAGAATATAGAAAAACTTTAAACGTATTGTAGATGTCAGTACATAATTGTCTACAGTAATTATTGAACCCACTTTAAGTTATTATTGTTATACTATCCGCTCAAGTTATCGTAAATTTGCTACATTATTTCTGAAAGTGACGGTGATTTGCGCAAATAGCCTTGTTTGACTTCAGCCTAATAATAATGATTATCATGTGTCGGTTCATTAGCACTTGAAGCCCTTAAGTTTCATCCGTCAGTCTACTATCGTAAATTTTACTTTATCTATTTCGATCCAGGCTGTTGTATGTTATTATTCGTGACCCAAATTGAAGAATATACAAATTATAGCGTAGTAAATATATTGAATGAATCTAATTTGGAAATTTCAGTTTTTTGTTGATCGTATTCTTTACAGCTTGCTATCCAGTTGGGTTAGCATTAAAAACGGGTTCCACTAGTATTAAGCGGGACCTGAATGTCTTGGGTTTAATCACTAGTGAAGTTGTCAGGGGAGCCTCATATTTGAATGAAACAGTTGTTCAGTTCTTCCTGGTTTCCAATTGTTTCCCAACTAAGATCGATTTCTGGTATATATAGATTCACCAACTGTTTGGAACCAATCTCCATCAAACCCTTTCAACTAAGTGCTGATTTTTATTTGTGTTTGTCGCGGTTTGTTTGTACTTACCTTGATATTGTTCTTTTTTTACCACTTTTTCCATAGGATCTTGTGTCTGCAGATCCTTCAGTGGAAGAAATGAAGTCTATTGTTTGTGAACAAGGTCTACGACCAGGTCTACCAGCCATATGGTCGAAGCATGAAATTATCCGAGCACTACAAGATATAATGAGTGAATGTTGGTATGCTAGTCCATCGGCTAGACTATCAGCTATGCGTGTTAAAAAATCACTAGCTGGTGTACGCAAACAATTAGATACTAATCCAGCATTGTCGGATCTTTCACATACTAATTATCTACCTCCAGAAGCTACTGATAAGCTTCCTTTTGGCATAATTCGTTGTCCATCTGTGCCACGTAATACAATGAATAATAATACTAATACTATTAATAATCAACTAATAAATTTGTTACCAAATCTTACAAGTACCGGTTCTATTGGTGCTGCTACTACACCTGGTAATAAATCACTCATCTCAGGAAATCATATCAATACTACTTATAATGATACTAATAATCCTATATTAACCACTACCATTACCATTACACCTACAACAATACTCAATAGTAATAATATTCATCATAGAAATTGTCAATGTAATGATGGTAATAATATGTTATATTCATCATTATTATATAAAAATGGAAATAATCCTTCGTATTGGTCAAATTGTGAATATGATAAATTATTATTATTCAATACACACAATAATAATGATGATAACAATACTACTAACAATACTACTAATCATCATCATCCTAATGAAGAATCCAATAACAATAGTAATTCAAAGCATTTATAGTCATCAATCGATCTTCCTCCGTTATAATAAGGGAAAAAAAGAGACTGGTCATTATGAGTAGACGAGAACAAGAGGAGGATTGCACCCTCTTTATAAATACTCTTGTATACTTTCTTAGCTTGTATTTTACTACATTGAACTCTGTCTTAAATTATTTATCCTATGCATATATAATATGCATTATTTTCATTCTTTGTTTGTTGTTTCTGTCAATGTGTAAATGAGTGTATTCTTACCATCATCGTATTGTGTATCGTCATTATGCTGAACTCTATCGTCTTGTTTCATATTCGTTGCTGTGTTTTGTTTTTATATTTAACGCTTTTTAGATTACTACTAAAGACACGTGTATATGATGTTACGTGGGTTTTTTTCACTCTCTTGATTTTATTTCCCAAAAAATCATCTATTTTGTTGTCATGATAAGTATGTATGTATGTATGTATGTATGTAACTGTATTTTGTATGTACAGTTCCACAGATTGTTCATGTTCACACGTGCAATCCTTATTTCTTTCTTTTATCACACAACTCAACCGTTTTCTTGTATTAACCTCCACTTTGTCTATATATTATTCCTAAGTTTATTAGGCGTTCCTTTGTTTTATGTATTTCTTTATATTGGCACTCCTGGAATGTCTTTCTTTGAATTTCACACATACACTATCTCCTCACTAAAATCATCCTCAACACACCAGTACCTACATATTTTCCGGTTTATGTTTTATTTTATCCCACATCTGTCCTACCAACTTAAACTGCACATATACACAAAACCTTTCCCTTGACTTCATTTAGCTTGATGTATGTGTTTTATGTAAATTTGTGTTTCATTCATATAAATCAGGAAGATTCTAGAAGTCCTACACTAGTAGTAGTAGTAGAACAATAATATATTCTCCAATTATGCTGATGAAGTAAATACAGTAATGTTGATAGTTCTAGTAGAATTTAGTTACTATTACTATCATTCATTACTTATTTACATTGCATTATGCTTTCGTTTGTTATCATTCTATTTCAGTTAACCATAAACAAGATGAAACAATTCAGCATATATATATATCCATATTTGTCTAAAAAATTAACTGACTGCCATGTGATTTCCGTATATATTTATACATATACGTAAGGTGACTTTTTTTCCAGTTTTTATTCCTTCTCTCATGTTTTCAGTTGTCATCGAGACTGTGTATTCTGTTTTTTTTTTAATAAATATTCTTCTCTAACAAATGCCGGTTATTGCTAGTTACCCACTGTTGTTGTTGTCATCATTGTTGCATATTGATGCCTTTTTCTTCACTTCTATTATTATTATTGTTTTAACTTTATTACTTGCCTATGACGTAACGATCTATTTCAGAAGTGAGTAGTAATAGTTACCTGAGATTCTACTTTTTTTTGTTTTGTTTACTTTTACTCTTTTTTTTCAAATTACTGGTGCTATTTTGGAATTGTCTTTATTTTTATTTTATTTATCACAAAAAATAAATTTATTTTTCTTATGTAAAATATTAATTTGTGTATGTATACGCAAAAGAGAAAGTGCATTATGATTATCTTTTTTTGATTGATTGATTCACAATGGATACTTTAACCGTAATGGGTTATTATTACAACAGGTTGATTAAATAATCTATATAGTCTCCAATCAAAATATGAAAATGAAAGGTGCAACTAGACTGGAAATGAGGGGGGGGGGTAAGAGTAGACAAGGATAATAATAATAATACAAATAATGTGAAAACAATTTGACACCTAATCACTCTGAATAACGAGCGAATATTACCAGGGTAGGTTTAAGGTAAGAACAAACTGTTTTTTGAATACAAAAAGGGGGGTTGAATTTTCGTATGGCTAAGGCTTCAATAGACCTTAATATACGCCATTTTATATAACACCATAAAAGCCTAGTTAATATCAATCTTATGACCTGTTTCGATTATCTGTTGAGAACAAATTCACACACACTTGTTGGACAGATTCTTAACTGTCTAGGTCCGTTCTCTTTCTTATTAGATAACACGGGTTTGAATCGTTTAAAGAATTTATTTTGAGTTTCACCAAGAACAACACTAGGATGGTAAGTAAAAGTGGATAGCGGCTAGCAGTGGAATCCAGGACGCGCGTTTCGTCCTATTTGGGAATCGTCAACTGGATGTACCTGCATCTCAGAGTTGGTGTTCACTCTGGAACTCGAACCCAGTACCCTCGCTTCAAACGCCATCACGTTATCCACTCGGCCACTGAGTCCTGATAGCCACTTGCTTATTCAATGGGATGAAGTTTAAATTCAACTTAGTATCGTTTGCTTTGAATCTTCCCATTGATTTTTAAGATTCCACTGCTAGCCACTATCCATCTCTTCTTACCATACTTGTGAATTAAGGCTATATCGAGGCAATACGCATATATCCCAACAGGAGACTGACCAGTTACAGTCCTAAACATCAATGGGAAGATTCAAACAAACAATACTAAGTTGAATTTAACACTAGGGTGGTTGGAACATTCAGCTCAACATGTCGAAAGTAGTATGAAATACAATTCTGACATCCTACTGTTAGTAACTATCGAAAAGATGTAGTTGGCACATCAATCATTTACCGTTTCCAAATACCTACTTTTTCTGAAGTTTGAATCACTAAATATTATTGGCAGTTATTACATAATAATTTCGGAAATATTTCCATCACACCAAAGAATATGTATATGTAAAAAAGAATATTACTCATCTGCTGAACATGTTGTATTAACGTAGAATAACTAGTAGTCAAGAGACATATACTTCCTGTTCCTTCAACTCTGGCCTTCAAGCTAAAAAAAAGGTTATGCACATGAATATCTAGTATTTCTTGCAAATACTAATTTTGCATTTTTCTTTTTTGCTTATTTCTCAGGAAATAAAGATTAAAAAAAAACAAGAATTAAGAACAATGTTTTCCCTATGTTATACCTTTTGTCTGGTTACAGTAAATGATTTTTCAATCTTATAAGAACAGTATTCTAGATAGAAACAAACACTTCTCGGTTTATTTTGTAGGGGTGAACTTAGATGAAATTATGCCGACCGTTTCAGAGTGTCCCCTTGAATGCTTCAATGTTGATTATAGCTGAAAATTGTAAGCTTTGCATAGAAGCGTGTATATACATTATATTGTTTACATATTAAATAAATTGATAAGTCTTCTAAATGAACGCTAGATTCAGTTCATAAGCTCTTCTAGTAACCACCAGGCTAAATCTACACAGCGACTTGAACATGAGAGGAGAGGCGCGAAATATTGAAGAAACACTTTACTCCAAAGTTCCTTTAGGTACAAAAAATCCAGGGTTTTTATAGTATTTTAGATGACCTTAGGTTTCCGGAAAATTCTAGAACGCTACTAAATAAAGTAGCAGTACAGGTAATCAGAAACTGGAAATGTGACATTTCACTTTCTAGGTGCTTCTGGCAAAACTTTCACTGGATGCTGATTAGATAAGATGCTTCTCAGCGTTTTCAGAGCTTAAGTTAGCTTTTTTCGAGAGGTTTTTGGATTTCCTCAGCACAAAATAATTAACTAAATCTAATCAGTGTGTTTACTGGGACACAACATCAAAGTTGAATAATTGCAAAATATCAGAAAGTGGTTTTGTGGAGATTTTATTTATTTTATATAGTTGAAATCATAAATCAACTGAAGCTAGACCACCATCGAAAATCTGGAAGCACTGGACGACCGTTTCGTCCCATCGTGAGACTCCTCAGCAGTGCGCGTCCACGATCCCACCTCACGAGATTCGAACCCAGGACCTATCAGTTTCGCGCGCGAGCGCTTAACCACTAGACTACTGAGCTGGCCGGCATCCAACGGTGATAATGTCTAACTTCAACTAATCCACGAAATTGAGCAACCATTCACCAATGTTTTCAGTGAGTTGATATATCCCAACAGACCTGGTTGAGCTACACTAGTTACTGCTTCTAACTAGAACTCTAGAAATTACCTCATGGAGTCAGTCACTAGTGAGGAGTCCAACAATAGGACGAAACGGCCGTCCAGTGCTTCCAGATTTTCTATGGTGGTCTAGCTTCAATTTACTCATGATTTCAACTATATAAAATTGCAAGATAGATGACCCAAAAGTTTGAATAAACAAGATCAATTTTAATGTAATACCACTGAAATTCATCATTTAGTTATGACAACAATAATATCAAATTATTCATAGTATGTGTTATATCCTAGCGAAGATTAAATTACGGGTAACTTCAGAGAGCTATTAATGGACTAATATACTCTCTCTCTCTGGATATATATATATATATATTTAAACACACAAATATTGGTACAAAGGGGCATCAGATATATATGCGCCACACAAATCCTATTTGATTTGTGTGAGGGCTGTGATACTGCCCAGGTGCTTAAACTGAAACAGGTGGTTTTCTTAGGGGGCCACACCCGGAGCCTTTGACCTGAATGTCTGATCCACAAGGCAGTGGAGCATCGTAAGGAGATGCAGTCCCATGGTAGCCGGTGACCAACGATTGATTCATACGCCATTTGTTCCTTCAGGATACTGGAGCCAGCCCATGTGAACCATTGGTTTGGAATGAGGGTTTTCCAACTCTCCTAGGTGGATTTTCCATGCCTACCAACCTGGTTAAAGTGCCGGATATTCGCTTTTCGTCTTCTCAATTTCGTAAACAACAGTAGTGCCACTAGAATTCAGTGATTAGGACTTCCCTGACAGAGGCTATATACGCGTGACCATGTGAGAGTGTTATATCCCCCGGTGAATTACGAATGTTAACTTATAGGTCTATTTATCGACCAATGTATTATGCCTATTTCCTATTGTACAGTTGTTACGTAACTAACTATTCATATTCGTGTTTCTCTTATCATGAGCTTTATTTTGATCTTTGATTTATTATCATACGATTCTTGAGTTATACTCAGTTATTGATTACTTTGGTTTGTATAAAAACCCAGTGTGTTTGTAAATAATGATTCATACCACTGAGGCTGTTATTGGTGTTTTGGACTTAATTGGCTGGGTTAAGCAGATCGCAGGACCGGTTAGCACTCTAGTCTGCTCGTACGGATTTCGTGTCACTGTTCCAATCGACAATTCGCTGCTCCCTGTTAGGCGGTCTTATCGCGTCATACATCAACTAGGCATCCACTCGGCCACAAGCATAACAGAGAGCATATATATATATATATATATATTCCTATTGTATAACTATTCAGTAACTAGGTTATGTATGTCTATATTCCTTTTATTATAAGCTTCATTTTGACCTATAGATTATTATTATTATACGATTTACCATTCTTAAATTGTACTCAGTATATTAGTTACAGTTTCTCACGTTCACAGCCAACTTTTGATTTGATCTTGTTTAAATATTATTTCCTATTTTATGGTGTAATGAGGTCTGTTTAGCTGGTATATAAACCAAATATGTTTAAAATAAATGATTCGCATAATGGTAGCTGTTATTAGCGTTCTATGCTCAACTGGATTAGCTAGGAGAACAAAGGACCAATAAGGACTCTAGGCTACCCATACTGGTCGAATATCATTGGTTTAGCACAGTACTGAGGTTGAATAAATCATATATCGATTGGTGAATAAATGACGTGATAACTATTTGGCCTTGAAGTTACAACAGTACGCTACTTATTTCAATTGGAATTACTCCCCCCTCTTCTGTATAAGTGGTACATTTTTTAAAAATTTGTGTTTATATTACGTAATCCGTGTTTTAATTAATTTAAATAATTTGAAATTAAGATTGATATAAATCTCTTTTATCATTCGAATATTTTGCATAGATTTATCATTTTAAAAGTCTTACATGGAAAAGATCCATTTAAGTAATTAGAAACGCCTATTTTGTATATATAATAAAGTATAAGAAAAGATAATTTATATGACAGTGTAATGTTGTCATTGGTAACAGTTGTTTATGTTTATTTCCAAGATAAATATTGAATATGATGATAATTCAATTGGAACTATGGGAATAGTTTTCCTCTTTTTTTTTGTTTTTCTCAATTATATCACAATAATCTCCAAACTTCTAATTGTAAACACTTTTTTAATTTATCATTGTTGAAAGCGTGAGTCAATTGAAGCTAGACCACCATGGAAAACCTGGAAACACTGGACGGCCGTTTCGTCCTATTATGGGACTCCTCAGCAGTGCGCATCCACGAACCTGCTCTCGCGAGCGAGATTCGAACCCAGGACCTACCAGTCTCGAGCCGAAGCCCTTAACCGATAGACCACTGAGCTGGCATCCAACGGTGTTAATGTCTAACTTCAACTGATCCACGAAGTTGAGCAACCATTCAACCATTCGTGGATGCGCACTGCTGAGGAGTCCCATAATAGGACGAAACGGCCGTCCAGTGTTTCCAGGTTTTCCATGGTGGTCTAGCTTCAATTGACTCACGCTTTCAACAATGATAAATACTAAATCTCCACAAAACCCCTACTTTTTTAATTGACAGTATAGAGTTGTGAAGATTGTTGAATATCATTGAAATCATGAA